GATTACGAAAATAAGTTTATGATTACATATCAATTAACAATTTTTCGGTTAAGCAGTACCTAAGGTGCTGGCTGAATTAAGGTACTGCGCAAAAATGAAATTTCAAGATTTGTATGTTAGCTACAATAAGAAATCAGATCACTTATCAAGATTCTCATGCTACGCATCTAAGATTAGCCTAATGACGTACACCCGATGTTTAGGTGCGAGCAGATGTCATTAGCGAATGTATCAATGTCTGCTTCATGGTGGGTCGATCACCTCTTTGACGATTTTCACCGAAATGAATTGTGGCTCGTTATTCGATGTTTTCAGTGGCCGCTTTGCCAACACGTTGCCAATTAGTCGTGGCAAAGGGCAGCCGGTGTTCGCTTTTTCATATCGCGCTCGTTTCGGAATAGCTTGCAACCGCAGCGGGAGTCCATCCAAACGCTTAATCGCTTTATACTGACAAAGCAATAGTTAGAATTTAGCGTTCGATTTGACTCTTCACCTTTATGAACATTCACAGAGGGAAAGGTTAACGGATAAAAACAAATTTGGGGAAAAAAATGAAATTTTCGCAAAAATGACTAATTATAATTCGTTTCAGGCGGCAATATAGCCAAAGATGCAAGAAATTGCAGGTCAAATTGCAAAAAGAAGTTTGAAATAATAGAAAAAAAGTGGTTCTAAGTTGCTACAGTAACCTGATAAGTATATATAGAACTGTAGAAGATTTTATTTTCAGCAAAATTCAAAAAAAAAATTTATCCAGCAGTATCATCTATGTATACTACGGAAATCAATTCGACAACGTTCTCAGCGCTGGAAGATGCTTAGAAAGAGATGAGTTTCAGACTTCAAATTAGCTGTTCAATATTAATAATTGGGTAATAAACTCAATTCCTATTTTAATTAATGATAATTAATGATAGTTATTGATTTTACCGTAATTATTAACTATTAACACAGCAACAACTTTTTAAGAAAATATTATATTTCATCCATAAGAAGTCTTGATTGTAAAGACAACATCATCTGGAGTATTATTATCCTTGTCGCTTAGTTTGCCTGCATCCGAGATGGATCTTTATCATAATTTCTTCTTAGATTATTAATTTCTCTCGCACCTTGTTTATACCTTTGATATTGCTAAACCCAACAGTTACAATCGCTGAAAATGTCAATGAAATGTGAAAGTTGAACAAGCGAATTTGAAGGGAAAAAGAAAGAACTGAGCGATACCGTACATGAAGTTACTACAGAAGAGCAATAAGCGTCGATACTTTTTCCTTAGGCCAAAAGCTGCTCATAATAGAATCAGAAATTAGCTTAAAAAAGGAAAAGCTATTTTACTATATTTCTAATTTGATGAGCCTGAGCTTTCGAGGGATTAATCACAAATTTAGAAATAAATGCTGAATATAGCCGAGTATATATTAGTAACATTGTATTTGTAAATCTTTGATTATTCGGTAGTTATATCGGAGAAATACGAATATGACCCCATGATCAGCTTCATAGTGAACAAATCTAGTGAGGAAGTAGTGGAGAGAATGCGGAAAGCAGGAAAGTAGTTCAGAGAGCTAAGAGGTGAAGAGGATGAAGTAGAGGTATGGCTCTTACCTGCATCATGTTGAGCAGCTGTGGATTGCTGAACATGCCGAGCTGAGCGGCCATAACAGCCGGGTTGAACGGAGTGGGCAAGTGAGGCAACTGTCTGCTGATGTCCACTCGGCTCGATTCCACACCGATGGCGGGCACGTCGCCGAGCGTCTGCAAGTAAATATCGTTCAAGAAAACCGTCAAACGAACCAATGAAGAATCCACATTTCATAGCGAAGGCAGCGTCAGTGCCGTCCGCTGTTGATGCTCTGCTAGTCGAGCAAAAAGCAGCTGAAAAAGGGCAAGTGCTTGCGCGCGCGCTCACCAACGGCTACCAAGGAACGTTCAGCGGACGCGGCGTAAAGAATCGCAGACCGGTCTGTTTCATATAGCTCCAAGTTCTGCGTTCCCGACCGGAAGGAATTTTCAAACAGCACACACACACCCTCTCGTTCTGGACAACCAACGCTGCAAGTTTTCTCTAACTCTGCCAGATTCTTCAGTGTTTTAGGAAAAACT